TTTGTTTTTTGGTTTTTTTCTTTAATTGAGCAGTAAATGAATTTTTTTAAAAGGTCACCAAATTCGAGCTGCGTGGCCTTGGGAAAGCCATTTAATTTCATCTTGCTCCTGAGACTGCTACTCTATAAAATGAGGGCTCCCTTATAAGTCTAAAAACCTATGAAGTACCAGCTAGCCGAGTAGTTGAAGACCCTGGTATGGTATCCATATGAATTGTGACATTTAATTAAGCCATCCTTATTCTCCTACCCATTTCCATTGCTAAATGATAAAGGAAAAACCAAAGGAAAGAAAAAAAGAAGTAAAACCTAGGCTGAGAGAGAGTTTATCATTCATGAAACATTTGCCAAGAGTATATCAAGCTAACAGCCTTTGAATCAGTATCCTCATATACATCCAATTTCTGATAGGAAACAATACTCTGTTTCCACCCTAAAAGCTTAAATGTGCTGTTCAGCTGCCTGCTTTAAAATTTGCAAGTGTATGGAACCCTCATCTAGGAATAAATTGAAGTAATTCTTTAGATTGCTTTTATTATATTTTAATTACTTTTTAACAGCTTAACTAAACATGCAATAAATGGACATATTGAAAGTGTGCCATTTGCTAAGTTTTAATGCAAGTATACATGTGTGAAACCCTGACCACATTGAGGATGGTGAACCCATCCCTCATCCCCAGAAGTTGGTTCAGGCCTCTTTGCAGTCCCTACCTCCCAACCCTCCCTACACCCCACCTACTCCCCAAGGAACTTTTTGTCACGATACACCATTTTGCATTTTCTAGAGTCTTATATGAATGGAATCCTACAATACATACTTTGGTTTTGGTCTTCATTCTTTCACTCTGGCACGATTAGTTTGAGACTCATCTGTATTATATGTATCAATAATTCCTTCCCTTTTTTTTTTAAAAAAAGATTTTATTTATTTATTTGACAGAGAGAGACACAGCGAGAGAGGGAACACAAGCAGGGGGAGTGGGAGAGGGAGAAGCAGGCTTCCCGCAGAGCAGGGAGCCCGATGTGGGGCTCGATCCCAGGACCCTGGGACCATGACCCAAGCCGAAGGCAGACGCTCAATGACTGAGCCACCCAGGCGCCCCAATAATTCCTTCCTTTTAATACTAAGTAGGTTTCCATTGTGTGTATTAGCACAATTTATTTATACACTCGATGAACTTTGGGGTTGTTTACAGCTTAGCAGTTTTCTCTTGGGTAGTTATCTAGGAGTGTTATGGCTGAATAAAGTCGCAGATATATGTCAACATTTTAAGGAACTGTTGCACAAAGTGGTGTACCATTTTATATTTAATATTCCCACCAGCAGTCCATTAGAGTTTCAGTTCCTCCACCATATCCTCACCAAACACTTGTCATGGTCAGTCTTCTTAACTTCGGGTACTCGATGAGCTAAGTAGATGGGTCTCATGGATTTGATTTCCTCAATGACTTGATTTTGAAAATCTTTTTATGTGCGTGTACACCATTCCTGTGGCCATTGGATGGAGAATAAAGAGGTGTGAGTGATAGGAGGAAGATAGGATGGAGACCGCATGAGGGAGTGTATGTGAAGGGAGTGGAGAGGAGGATCCAGGATACTGATAACGAACAGGGAAACATAAAGGTGCAAATGGGAGATTGGAAGGACTTGTGGGGTTAAGGGGCTGTGGGACAGCCAAGTGACAGCTGAGCACATAGGTTTGAGGACCTCTGCTCTGAAAGCATGGATTTGGGTCATTAGTATATAGGTGGTAATTAAAGCCAGGGGAGTGTTGGGAACCCCTCTTTTCTAGCACCTTAGATCTGTCCTTATCCTTGGCACATCCCATAATACTAGCTGCCTCAGGTAGACTGTGAGCTCCTTGAGGACAGGTGGAGAGTCCTTAGGGCTAGCACTGTGTCTGGTAATTAGTAGGACCTCCGTAAGTATTTGTTGAAGGCTGTGAGTTACGGCTCTGCCACTTGGTTTAGAAGTAAACAAGTTGCTTAACTATCAACACTTCAGTATTCTCATCTGTAAAATGAAAATATCTGCCTCATAAGTTTATTAGAGGAGAAACAGAACATTTGGTACCTCAATACATGTTAGTTTCTTCCATCTTACTGAATTGAATCTAAAAGTATCTAGGGAAAACAGCAATAGAAAAAAATCCTTTGAATTTTTTTGAAGACCCCAGCAAGAAAGATCTTGGATCCCCTGCTGAAGCCTCCTTTCTTTTTTTTTTTTTTAAAGATTTATTTATTTATTAGAAAATGAGCACAAGTGGGAGGGGCAGAGGGAGAGGAAGAGAGAATCCCAAGCAGACTCCATGCCAAGTGCAGAGCCTGATGCAGGACTAGATCCTATGACCCATGAGATCACAACCTGAGCCGAAACCAAGAGTTGGATGCTCAACCGACTGAGCCACCCAGGCACCCCCTGAAGCCTCATTTATTTATGGTTTTCCTGCTTCCTTTAATAATTACTTTGCATTTAGGCTTGAGTGCTATACTTATAACACCAAATGGGCAATTGTTCTTCACTCTAGTCTAGAAGTGAGAACTATTATGAAAAGTCTGTATCATAATTATTGGTAATTCATTTAAACATAAAGTACATCTGGGCGCCTGGGTGGCTCAGTCGGTTAAGCGACTGCCTTCAGCTCAGGTCATGATCCCAGGGTCCTGGGATTGAGTCCCACATTGGGCTCCCTGCTCCGCGGGGAGCCTGCTTCTCCCTCTGCCTCTGCATCTCTGTCTCTGTCTCTCATGAATGGATAAATAAAATCTTTAAAAAAAAAATTGTTATTCTTAAAGTTCTTTATGTATTTAGAAATGTTTTAACTATAATGAACTTTGGTTTTGTTATTAGACAGAACTGGTTCCGAACTCAGGTTGGGTGGGCTGCTTGCCACTGGAAAGTCAATACCAGAGAGAGGAGAGGCGGTGGGAAATGAAGGTGCCTGCTTTATTCAGGACTAACATCCCAAAGCCCATCTTCCTGTGTTGGCAAAGGCAGAGGGTTTAAAGGGGAAGGTGAGGGACCTGGGTGGGGACAAGGGAAGCGGGTGCCCAGGTGGTTAGTTGTACATTGACATGACCCGGAACAGACTTGCTGGCATCAGTGGTGACTTTATGAATGTGGTCAGGTCTTATCTTCTGGGAAAGTCTGGTTCTTCCCTCCTCAAGGCCAGTGGTCTGCAGATCTCAAGAAAAGTAGTTCGTAAGGCTACAGACTAAGGGACTTAAGTTGGCAAGCAAGGAGTGCATAAGCTTGAAGCCAGTTAACCCTTGAGACCCACTGGAATGCTGTGACAGTTTGTTAAGACTTCTATTATCATGAATTTATCCTACATAGGAATTCAAATGAATCAGGCTTTTTCTGTGGGTTGGTTGTTTTGTTTTGTCCCCAGCAGTCCTGTCTTAAATAACGTCGGGTCCAGCTGTCTTTGAATTTTTATTTGGCTTCATAATAAAGCTTTAGAGTTCTCACCATCTGGATTACACTGGGGAAGATAATCGGACTTTCATTTTACAATTATTTTAATCTTGGCCAGTGGAAAACTTTCAGTTTCATGTGAAGGTCAGCAACTTCAAGTTGCAATATCTATAGAAATCATACTTCACATGGAAGGTCCGAACCATAGAAGAGTGAACTGGGAGGTGTCAGGCAGAGGTTATGTGAGGACCCTTCCCACTGTTTCACTGAGAGGTTAAGGGGACTTACTGCACCCAACCCTAAATGGTTTGTGTGCAGAAGGAGCTGTATAAATCCTAAATGTTGGTGGCAGAGGACATTTTTGGCATGAGATACTGGTTCCTTTCTTCTTTGGCCAATGAGGAAATTAAAGTTGTTGCCTTTCTTGTTTCAGGAGAACTCTTTTGAGAATTTCCCGCCTCACACTGTAACCTCTAATTAAATCTCCTTTGTAGCGATGTGATTTGTATATCAAAGATCCCCCATTTCCCGGGAAGATCAGAGATGCTTGTTTGGCTCCCTTATGTAGAAGCCTTAGCCCACGCCCCTCCAGGGTCAGCCTTCTCTCCTTCCACTCTGACTGCCCTTGGCCTCTGCCTAGTTTCTCACACTTACCCTGTGTCCTTGGCATGATGGTTAGGTAGAATTCTGCCTCCTTTATTAGCTAAGTGTCTCCCCTGAGGAGTCCTCACTCACCTGTTTGTTGTAGGTGAAGACTAATAAATATAGAAGTCCTGAAGTTTGCATGATTCCTACTTTTTTTTTTTTTAAACACATAAGCATGGACTCAAGGTTATCCCTAGAGCAATGTCACTCTCACTTGTGTTACATTGGGAATAACCCTGAGTGTGCCCAGGGGAACATATTAGGAAGAGGAACATCATCCATCATGTGTTGGATAGAAGGAGGAAAAACAAGGTTGAAAAGCGTAGTGTTAGAGAATAAGCTCTTTGATCAAAATGTACATCTAACTTTGTAACCCACACAGGGCCTAGCATGATGTCTCACACATAGGGCAGTCAATAACATTCCTGAATGAACTGAGTACAATCCAACAGTTGACACATTTCTTGGATCACTATTCTAAGGAAGGAAAAAAAAAAGTGCAATATTTCGGGGGTGTTTTGACATCACATTTCAAAACCATGAATTTCCTTCTTGAAAGAGGCTTACTATAGGTAGAAATTGCGTAGTACTTTGGTCACTACCATCCAGTAATGCTGTCCAGAATCATTAGATCCAAGGGTCGCTTTCATAATCCACCATCGCAATATCATGCCTTCTGTTTTTCTGCCTAGGTGGTTCTGGTATAATTGTTATCACAAGTTATTACCCTTAAGTCTAACCTATTCTGAAGGAAAAGGTGGCTGATACTGTCATTTGAGGACTAAGAAATATTTGTCTAGATGTTTGATCAATCTGTATTTTTATTTGATGTGTAATTGGCGAGAAAATTGCAAAGACAAATTTAAATGCTTGCATCTCTAACCTTGTCACAGTGTCTGAGCATTCATTCATCATCATTATCTTGGATTCCTGCAGCCAGCAGACTTCATAGGAAAGCAAGCACTGAAACAGATTAAAGCCAAGGGGCTGAAACGGAGACTGGTCTGCCTCACCTTGGCAACGGACGATATTGATCCGGAGGGAAATGAAAGCATCTGGTATGATGGCAAGGTGAGTGCTGAGGACCTCATGGCCAGGGGCCACTGCAGCTTTTCTGCACCAGAAACCCTCCTTGTCTCTGTTTCCTTTTAGAGTTGTGTTTTTTAGGGTTTTGTTTTGTTTTGTTTTTTGCTATTTATCTATTGGTTGCGTGACACACTTTGATTTCTGAGCTGACATTCAAGAAACAGAAATCAGTTAACTGAAAGGAAAATGAAATGCTCATTTTTAAAAACATCAACTTCTCTATGCTTCGATTAAAGAAAATAAAACAAAGGACTTAAAATACAATGGACAATGAGGAAGGTATAATTTAGAGGCTCAAATGATCTTTGAATGCAAGAGATGGATTTTATTAAAAAAAAATTCTGGCATTCTAGTTTAGCTTCTAAGGGATCTTGGAGAAGGAAGTAATTCTAACCTTAGCACACCTGCAGAAAAAAATTCCAAGTGAAAATCTCCATGCAACAGAGGGTAGAGCCTTAGAAAGTAAAGTGAAAGGTAGAAACCATTTAGTTCTTCAGAAAGGGTAAATGTGCCTTCTTCTCATTTGGGAATGTTGTTTTATTCTGTCTGTTGGCATTCAGTAAAACCAGATAACTTACCAGTAGAACTTCATGTCTTTGACTTTTTACAACTCTTCATAAGACCAAGTTTGGTTTATGATTTTGCTGTGTTTTGGCTGGGGCTAGCAGGCAGATGGGGTACTCTCCCCGTAGATTAGGGGGTGAGCACATGGCCACCGAGGCTCATTGCAACAGCTGTTCCCTGTTGAACAAGGTCTGCTTGGCCAATACCCAAAGACTCAGAGATTTGGTTCCATGGGTTTTTTTCTCATGCCTCCTTGATCCTTGTTTTCATTTCCCTCTTCTCTTCAGTAACAAAAAGAGTACTGGAGGGGGAGAAAGCCAGTGGCATCAAATCTCAGTCTTTGGTTTACTAAAGAAATGGCCACGTGGGCTGAGGCATGGATCCATTTGATGTACAACTAACATCTACACAGTTTCTACTATGCGCTGGATATTTCTTATGCACTCATTTAATTTTATAACACCCCTCCCAGATAGGTATGGTCATCCCATTTTAGAGATGAGGCTTGGGGGTTCAGAGAAGTGAAGTAACTTGCTTGAGGTTGCTCGGCTAGTGATGGACAGAACCAGTTTCTGACCCGGGTATAGTTGGACTTGGTATTGCTTACCCTGCCTTCTAAGCCACGCTGAATACTCCAGTTTGCTGTCCTCTCTGTCTCTGCTCATGTCCCACTGTATTCTCTTCACTTAAAGACCCACAGTTGTCCTACATCCCAGAAGCAGGTGTATGTTATTAGACCCTATGAAGCTAAGAGACTCTTCTCAGATTTCGAGCTCTTTCTTAAACACTTTACCCTTAATTGTGCTGAGTTCATTCTCTTTGAGCCTCTTACCTCACTGTCTCCTCCTCCTTTCTGTTCTAAATGTCTGGTTCAGACCTCTTTTCTTAATAGGCTTTTCCTCACACTTCATATTTGCCCACAATTGCCAGTGATAATCACCTCTGCCATTAACTAGCTGCTTCGCTTGACCTGATCTTAGCCTCTCTGGGCCTCCATTTTCTCATCTACAAAATGATGAGATCATGTCTTAGGTTCTTTGCACCTCTAATTAATTTTTCCCCTAGTCATCAAATTTCCCCCACCTCCTCTTTCTTCTGTTTCTCATTTTTTCACTCGTTCTCAGCCAGCTTTCTAATATGGTCCACACCAGCCCCTGCACTGGCTTTCTGTTTTGGCCATGGAATGACCGATGATGCTATTGTGTTCTTTTTTTTTTTTTTTTTGAGAGACAGAGAATGAGAGTGTGCGAGGCAGGGGGAAAGGAGTGGGCAGGGTCAGAGGGAGAGAGAGAATCCCCAAACAGACTTCCGCTGAGTGTGGAGCCTGACACAGGGCTCAATCTCAAGACCCCGAGTCACAGCCTGAGCTGAAATCAAGAGTCCAACGCTTAACCAACTGAGCCATCCAGGCTCCCCTATGTTATCATGTTCTCTATGCAAACCCACACCAACCCTGATGAACACAGTATAAACCTGACACCCAAATGCAAGTTTAAAATCCTGGAAACTTGTATCTTAAACTTACACAACATTACATGTCAACTATATCTCAAAACTGGGAGGGTTGAGCTGAAAACCCGAGTTCCATTTTTGAATTTTATTTCCTTTTCTGTATCAGTGCACTGAGTTTACCTGCTATATTTTTCATCTTTCCTCCCAGATGCCATCTGCTTACAGAGCTGTTAATCCAGTTGTAGCTGGCTTTAAAAATAACCCTTGAATTTCCTGATACCTGCTTGTCTGCTCTTTGATGCTCAGTAGGGTCATCTTCTCACCATGCAAATGAATCTTCTGGATCCTCTTTATACTCTGGAATGATAGGAAATAGTTCTTGCTCCTATTTCCTGACTTCATTGGGACTTGTACTGCCTTTGGTATTTGGTATTCTATTCTTGCAAATATTCTCACTGCCAGGGATAAGGTATGAATTTATAAGGTACAAATTTGTTATTCAACAAATCTGTCTACTATGTGGTAGAGATACGCTTGGCACTGGGGACGTGGCAGTGAACAAAACAGATGAGCTTCTCTGCCTCCATGGATCTGACATTCCAGGGGAGAGAGAGCTAGCCAGTGAACATACTCACTAAATGGCACATCTGAGGGTGCTGAGTGCCCTGAGGAAAAGGAAAGTCCGATTGAGAGATGGGCAGTGAAGCCAGGAGGGATTATGATTTTAAATAAGGCTTAATTTTTAAAAATCAAGGCATAAGGGTGGGTATGAAAAGGGCTCTGTTATAAAAGCAGCTTTGTTGGGAAGTTTTGTTTTTTTATTTTCTTTCTTTAAAAAGATTTTATTTATTTATTAGACAGACAGCATGAACAGGAGGGGCAGAGGGAGAGGGAGAGAGAGAATCTTAAGCAGACTCCATGCTGAGCGTGGAGCTTGACGGGGAGCTTGACCCTGTGACCCTGAGATCATGACCTGAGCTGAAACCAAACGTCGGATGCTTAACCGACTATACCACCCAGGTGCCCCTGTTGGGAAGTTTTAAAGAAGGTGTTTTGTATAAAGGATGTAGGCAACTAATGTAAGTAGTTTCACTAATCTTAGCAACTGGTTAAAGCAATTGTCTCTTCAGCAACTGCAGACTTGTATAGTAATGAGATTCTTTATGCATTAGGATGAATGTTGTCCTTCCAAGTTAGGTAATCCTGTTTTTTTTCTTCCCAATTATGTTGCCATTGCTAAATATTTCTCTGAAAATGGCTGGAAGAGTCCATTTGTAAGGCATCCAAAAGAATTAGTCTTGTCACTTATCTTAGTCATATGTTATTTTTTAATTAAAAATAATTTTTTTAAAGATTTTATTTTTACGTAATCTCTATACCCAGCATGGGGCTTGAACTTAAAACCCCGAGATCAAGAGTTGCAGGCTCTACCCACTGAGCCAGTCAGGTGCCCCAGTCATAGGTTAATTTTGACCAGAATCTGGATTATGGCCATGTGTATTTTATTCATCAAGCTTGATTAAAAATATTTTATAGTTACAAAAAACGGGTGTTTTGTAGAAATGAAGTTTGGAGAGTTGAGAAAGCAGTCTTTTTTTTATTATTTAAAAACAAAGGCACAGAGGGACAGCCAAAGAAATACAATGTATCATCCAACTTAAATTACATCCTCTCCTTCAAAGGCCATCTACCCTGTTAGCTCCCCTAAGTCAGAGGGGTCTTGAATTTTCACAGAGAGGAACAAGAAAAGGCTAAACATAAATGAGGATTGCTTATATTGGTAAAAGGAAAGTCAGTGTCTAACAAAGAATATGAAAAGCTGCTACGCAGAGGGTGGGCACAGGTTGTTTTTATGATTCACAGAACAAAAAGAAGGAATGGATTTAATTGAATCTGGAAGATTTTAAGGTAGAATGATATAAAATTGTTGCTAGGGAAAACCTTTCCTTAGAAATTTAGTAATAAGATACCAAGGAAAGTCTGGACTTCTAAAATATTCTGGGCTACTCAGCATTGGATTAGAGAGAAATTAAAGGAGAAATGAAAGTAATCTAGCAGAAAGCAACACATTCAATAAATACACTAAAAATAGCACTCGGACAGTAAATTTGCTATTTCTTTACATTACTCATGCAGCAGTAACTGCAAGATGAATCACTGCTGGGATTTTAAGAGATGGGAAGGCCTGGGGAAATGGTTCACGCAATCTCTCAAGAGGGATGGTAGGTTTTTGACCCAGTGAGTTAGGGGATTTAGCCTAGAGCCTTGCTGTGGCCTCTTCTTGTTTTCTTAAGATGCTTGCCCAAGCAAATCAGGTTACCTCTCTAGACCTCAGGTTTACAGACTAGGGAGTGAAACCAGGGTTACCAAGAAAGTCTTCCAAAAGCTGTGATTAAAACTCCAACCTTCCTGACCCAAATCCCTGCCTTATTTTACTTAACAATGATCTAAAGGAAAAAAACCATTTTAGGGGCACCCAGAGTGGCTCAGTTGGTTAAGCATCTGCCTTCGTTCAGTTCAGGTCATGATCCCGGAATCCCCGGACTCAGCCCAGTGTCGGACTCCCTGCTCAGCGGGGAACCTGCTTTTCTCTCTCTCCCTCTGCTCGCCCTGCTTGTGCTCTCTCTCTCTCTCTCTCAAATAAATAAAATCTTAAAAAAAAGAAAAGGAAAAACCATTTTATTTTTTTTTAAAGATTTTATTTATTTATTTGACAGAGAGAGACACAGAGAGAGAGGGAACACAAGCAGAGGGAGTGGGAGAGGGAGAAGCAGGCTTCCCGCTGAGCAGGGAGCCTGATGCAGGGCTCGATCCCGGGACCCTGGGATCATGACCTGAGCCGAAGGCAGACGCTTAACGACTGAGCCACCCAGGCGCCCCGGAAAAACCATTTTAAAGCATATGTATTCTCTCAGCAACACCTTGGCAGTTAATAATCTGCCAAAGAAGCTTTTACTAATGAATACATTCATGTTTTTTATTCTTTTAATCAACCAGTTCTCCCCATAATAAGTTCAGAAATGATATGGAGAGCTTCTGATTTGGGGTTTCCACGAGATAATTACAAACTGGGGTTATAGAGCCACGAGTCCGTATTTAATGTCATAAATGTGTCAGCATCTTAAAGATGAAAAATGCTGTAATAAGACTGTTGACTGTAGTGGGCTCTTTGCTGAGGCGGCTGAAAGACCAGCAGGCTGATTCCCGGCCGTGAATGTGTTTGAGCACCAGCTACAAGTGGTTTGCTGTACGAAACGGTAAGGCTGTAAGGACTAGTGCATTGTTGTGTGGCCAAGAGAAGCCATTCTGAGTAGGGCTATAGATCATATTTTGCTTTTGTTGTCTTCCTTTTACAATTTTTATTTTTATTTTATTTTATTTATTTATTTGACAGAGAAAGACAGCGAGAGAGGGAACACAAGCAGGGGGAGTGGGAGAGGGAGAAGCAGGCTTCCTGCCGAGCAGGGAGCCCAATGTGGGGCTTGATCTCAGAACCTTGGGATCATGACCTGAGCCGAAGGCAGACGCTCAACGACTGAGCCACCCAGGTGCCCCTTCCTTTTACAATTTTTAAATATGGTGTTTTAACCTGACACTTTCTGTCACTTTTTTTTTTTTCCATTTTACTGTTTCTCTTTCATCTTTTCCTTTAGATATGGTTTCGACTCATCCTCTTATCTTTATAAGAAGCCTGATTAGTTTATTTATTTATTTATTTATTTATTTATTTATTTTTGCAGTGTAAAGCCTTTGTTTTCATCTCCTGGGTTTTGTTTCTTTGCTCAGTACTTTTCTCTGGTTTGCCATCCCATGTGATTCCATTTTATCCTCCCTGATGTTGATTGCTCATGCCTGACTCCATGTCTCCGCTCATCGTGGAAAGTTTCATCCTCCTTTTCCACCTACCTAATGCCACCCCCCTTCCAAATGGAGAACAAATCCTGCTTGATGATGGTTACTTCCTTGGCTTCTCGGTTCTGTTTTCTTGTATCTCTATTAATTCCTCAACTTGCAGGCTGGAAGCTTCTGAGGGTAGGAACCAAACCTCATTCATGCTCTAGAATGTCCAGCAAAATGTTTTTGTTTTTGTTTTTTTTTTTAAGGATTTATTTATTTATTTGACAGAGACACAGCCTGAGAGGGAACACAAGCAGGGGGAATGGGAGAGGGAGAAGCAGGCTTCCCGCGGAGCAAGGAGCCCGATGTGGGGCTCGATCCCAGGACCCTGGGATCATGACCTGAGCCAAAGGCAGACGCTTAATGACTGAGCCACCCAGGTGCCAGCAAAATGTTTTGTACATGGTAGATCTAGAGAGGGTGAGGTTAACATTAAGTGCCTACCAATTGCCAGGAATTGCTAAGTGCTGTGTATTCATAGAATGTTTGCTTCACATTGACTATTGATGTATCAGTAGTTTAATTCAGCACTCTTTTGGCCAGCCATGTCCTCAATCCCAACAGGAACAGTTGACTACATTTATATTTGGATTTTTAGAATTTTTTCCCCTTGTATCTATTATTGCCATGCTAGTTGGATGATGGAAGAGAATTCTTTTCTAAAGTTTAAAATGAAAACATTTGAGTCTTCCTCCTATCAGATCTCTTGGCATGAAACTGAGCCAAATAGTGCCAGCTATTAAAAAAAAAACTAGGTGTGATTTAAAACTGAGAAGTTCGAGGCTGTTGATAGGTATTTTGAGAATTATTTTTCATAATTTGTAAGCCTACTCCTCAAAAGTAAAGTTTTCTTCCTAGTGTTAGCCCCACAGACAGTAATCCCTAAGACTTTCAGGTTGTAAATTGAACCTACTTGAATCTGGAGAGAAGCAGCACAAAACCATGGCCAAGATGCTGAGGATTGCTGGCTCTTGTTTTTCAGGTGGTTGGCAACACGACGTCTGGAAGCTACAGTTACAGCATCCAGAAGAGTCTGGCATTTGCCTATGTCCCTGTAGAGCTAAGTAAAGTAGGACAGCAGGTGGAAGTTGAGCTGTTGGGCAAAAATTACACAGCAAGCGTCATACAGGAACCCTTGGTGTTGACAGAACCAACCAGAAACCGGCTTCGGAAGAAAAGTGGAAAGGATGACATTTGAAAAAGACCTTCAGCAGGAAACTGAATTATGTTAGCTCTGTGACTCTGCCAAACACCATAACTGATCTTTGGGAGAATACAAGAAACCAAGAATTCAGTTCAAAATCCTCAAAATCTAGATTTATGATCTTAATAAAACCTTTCTCAATTCTTTCCTCAGCAAGAGAGAATAATGGATTAGTGATTTACGTTGTTCTTTCAAATGAAGACATTTGAAATGAATGTTTTTATTAACCTATATTGTTTGTAAAACTCAGCAAAACATTTAGGTGTTCACTAATATACAATCACTACTATAACTGAATTAGAGGACATTGTATAATTTTAGGAATATATGCTTATGTTTCTTGTACCTGAAAACAAATTGTTTTACATAAAAAACTAAAGTAGTACTATTGATGGATTTGTTTCATTGGGAAACAGTAGTTGAATAAGGGATAGTTTTAATTTTTTATAATATATCTACAATGAAAATAGTAAAATTTAATATTGATACATGAATTTTTATTCAATTCTCTGAAATGCTTATTTTCTTAATGAATTCCCTGCAAGCGGTATTATGGGGCATCATTATTGGCCTTTCAAAGGTTGTTTTAGAAGAGTAATTGCAAAAAAGAATAGTCTTCCAAAGGAAGCAGCGCTTATAGAGCTTTCTGAAATGAAGCTGAAACATAGATTGTGCCAGTAAAAACACAGTTTGAATACTGAACACCTCTCTTTGGGAAAGAATTAATGCAAGTTGACATCACATGTGCCTCTCTGAATATCCTTTCACAGAGCATTTGACAAAGCAGGTCAAACAAGAGCTTAAGAGCTGACAGGATTGCCCTTAGCACTGTGTACAGCAAGAAAAAAAAGATGTATTTAGAAATAATTCCTGCTAAATTTTTCAAAATTGAATTTAGTTGACTGAACAAATCAGATCTTTTTATAAAAGGTGGCTTATCACTTACAATTTGTTATATACACGTTTGTTGAACATTTATTGAGTCTTTCCTAGGTATTAAAGTTGAATGTGAAACATAAAATGTAATTACAGAATTGTAAAATAATTTCTTGTAAGTTTTACAAAGGTGCCAAGTATACATTTAAAATGTTTGATTAAAGCAATCATATATTAAAAAAAAAAAAGGCAATCATATATTAGAACTCCAATAGGCCATTCATTTCTCTTCAGTATAGCTTTTTGTATGAGAAAAGAGGGAAATCTTGGTAACAAAATTTGATAATCTTGATAATTTCCTAATTGTCAAGAATATTATCTTGGTGCAGCCACTATGGAAAACAGTATGGAGGTTCCTCAAAAAAGTAAAAATAGAACTGTTGTCTGATCCAGCAACTCCATTTCTGGGTATTTAACATGAATTCACAAATCTTGCCATTTGTGACCATGTGGGTGGAACTGGAGGGCATTCTACTAGGTGAAATTAGAGAAAGAAAAATACCATATGATTTCACTTATACGCAGAATCTAAGAAACAAAATGAACAAACATTACAAAAGTCAGATACAGAGAACAGATTGGTGGTTGCCAGAGTGGAGGGTCGTTGGTGGGTGGGCAGAATGGATGAAGGGGGTCAAAAAGGTACAAACTTCCAGGTATAAATATGCCTTGGGGATATATGTATCATGGTGAATATAGCTAATATAGCACAGAATATTTCGAAGTTAAGAGAGTAAATCTTAAGAGTTCTCATCACAAGAAAAATAACTTTATATGGTGATGGTTGGTAACTAGACTGGTGGGATCATTTCATAGTGTATAAATATTGAATCTTTACTAATACAATGTTATAAATCAATTATACCTCAATTTAAAAAAAAACCCTCCATATCCACTATCTCTTATTAGGTGCTGGTTAAAGCCTTTGCCTGGGAGATCCCATTTCTTACTCTCTGCCACTCTCTAGTCCTACAACCATTAAGATACTTATTTACCATCTCTGGATTCCTTTTCTGCAACATAGACAATTCCAGGTTTTTTGGTACAGTAATCAATAATGAAAGTACAACATTGAATTCATGTCCTCCAATTAATATAACACTAGAACAGATCAATAGAAGTTGTGCTCATTCCATCTTTTGTGGTTTGTTGGGTGCTATTAAGTCACCCTGGCATCCCATGCCCACCCAGCCGGTGGACCTGGGCTAGGTGCAAGGTTTGGCATCAGCCAATGCATAGGCTGACCAGTGACCTACGAGACCACTTAGCCAGACTTCATCCCATGGAAATTTGAACTGTGAAACATCGGAGCATAAGCCGATGATCCCTAAAAGCTGAAGCTGAAAAGATGAAGAAAAGATGTAAGAGAAGTCTTGGGGTAGCAAGAACCCCTGACAAGGGGAGAGGCCCTGAGAGAAAGACCAGTTTCTGAAGCTTTCAGTTCCCAATGGCCTATCAGCCGGTTGTTAGGTGAACACCTCGACTCAAAAGAGCCTCCCTAAAACCTCTAGCTGCTGGAGAGTGGGCCAGGCACTGAGAGAGGCCTCACAGGAACGGGGCCAGGATTAGGGTCAGCCATGAAGAGCAAAGAACCAGCATGCTTGAAAGTACTCTTTACTGATGTGCAGAAGCCCATGTCTATGGTTTAGGAACGAGTGTTCTCAAGAATGTGATAGTGGATGATGGGTGCTTTCTTCCCTTGAGCTAGGAAAGCTTCTTAGAACTGCAAAAACACTTTCTAGTCAACACATTATCAAAACATTGATGGATGTTGTTAGGTTGCTGGTGTTCACCTCTAATCTATGTTTTACTCCTTTTCTGATGGGAAAGGTGACAGATAAACCCATTTTTAAGTATGCTTTATGGCCCATTAAATAGCAAAGAGATTCTGGAATATTACTGAGAGGACTTTGTGCATGTTTGAACTGCACAGAAAGATTGACGTTATAAGGAAACAAAGCATCTGTGAGAGGAAGAAAGTTTCAGCTGTACAAATAGCATCCTTTAGCCAAAGCCTCATAAAAGCCAAGAGCCCCAAATCAAATCAAACTCTTCTCCTGATGAATCATCCTATATAAGTCAAACTGATCCTGCCTTTGCTTATCTGTCTGCCATTAATGAGTCTCCAGAATAGTTCAGTAGTTTATAGAAGCTACTTTATGAATTATAAAAGGCTAACACATTACTTATATTTTCTCCAGGTGTACACTTTGGAAGTATCAGCATGCCATGAAGCATAGGAGGGACAGGGTGGTAAAACAGTTACTGGACAGAAAGCCAGAAGACCTGCTTTTCCTAGCCCTGCTGCCAGCCAAGAACAGACTACGTGATCATCTACTCAAGCCTTTCCTGTATTTAAAGTTCTCTGAGTAATTGCTTTCCTCACTGAAGTATTTGTTAGTCTACAAGTGTTCGTTGAGTACTTCCGACAGGCCAGGCACTGGAAAAGCAGTGAACAGACATGGTCCCTTTGTGGCATTTATAGACCAGGTCAAGCATTTAACAAACAAAAAAAAAAAACCAGGTGTATATTTCGGTACAAACTGAGGTGTCATGAAAGCCAAGGGAAGAGAACATTTTGACGAGAGGATGGCAAACTGTGTCCAAAGATAAGAGATGTCAGGTAAGATTAAGGGCTGAGAAGTGCCTCTGAGGTTAGACCACAGTCTCATTGGCGCCATTGGCATGAGCTCTTTCTGGGGGGGCCGGTGAGGGCGGGAGGTAGACCATATTGAAAAAGGACTAGGAGGTAAGGAGTTGGAGGCGGGGAACAGACTCTCACTATCCAGGAGCAGCTTCCTACTCAGAGAGGGTACCAGTTAGGAAGCTTTCAGCTGCAAGTAAGAAAATATCCCATTAACAGCAGCTGAAGCAGTTTATTTTATTAAATCACAAAGTAAGTCTGGAGGTAGGTTCAATGACGCCATTAACTATCTCAGTTCTCTTTATTTCATTATGTCAAATCCTCCTCCCTGTAAAACACTTTTTTAGTCTAAATCATTTGTTGTTGCAATTGTTGATGTTTTGATCATCTATGTAGTTCAAATTAGCACATACTTATTGCTTACCTTATTAAATATTGGGTTCCACATGGAAATTAATTTAGAGATGGGCACCTGGGTGGCTCAGTCAGTTAAGTGTCTGCCTTCAGCTCAGGTCATGATCCCAGGGTCCTGGGATCAAGTCCCACGTGGGGCTCCCTGCTCTGCAGGGGTCCGCTTCTCCCTCTGCCCCTCCCCCAACTGGTTCTCTCTCTCTCTCTCTCAAATAGATAAATAAAAATCTTTAAGAAAAATTTAGAGAAGCTCTGGTTATACCACAGGCCCTTACCACTAACAGGCTCAGCTATATGCATTCAAGGGTAAATTCTTTACTGCTGGAATCATTCAAGCTTCCTTCAAGCATAATTTGAGTCTTCAATCCCTGTGGAGCTAGTTATCCCACACTGAAACAGTAGAGTGATTGTAAATACAAAGAAGCAGAAGTTGAGTTCAATTCTGTCATTCTATGTGATCACTCAGAGTTTCTACTGATGTTGGTTATGAAACAGAGGGCAAATTGTGAGATACAACATTGTGTTCAGTAAGAGCAGATTTTAGTTCATACATGAAATATCTTACTGGTTTTGAAGAATATCTCTAAAATTAATATTTCCTCTTTTTAAATGGTTGTTAAAACTAAAAAAATAATTAAAATATAATCATCAATGGCATAATTTTAGAGTTACCTAAGTTGTGATTTTTCAGTATCTTATTAGTTACCGGATAAATTATTTACATAAAATATTATATCAGACTCTAATCAAAGGAGCAATACACAGAACCTGTGGAGAAGGTTATTGATCATGCAATAACCAAATCTCAGCAAATGGTCACTTATTCAGAATAAACAATCCAACCTCAAAGAATGCCGGGAGAAACAACAAAAGGTGCTGGTCTTACAGTGCTGGAAGAAATCAACAGAGCAGTATTTGAGTGCTCTCCTAACCTGGAGAACTAGTAAGGAATGCACTGATGGGGGCTGCCAAGCCAACACTAGGACCATTTGGGAAGGGGCGGCCAGCAGGAGCAGGAACCACAGAGGAGACTCAACCATGCTGTTGAAGATGCTACCCAAATCCAAAAGAAGGGAAAAAACACCCTGGCTTCTCTCTTCCTCCCACATTCCAATCTCCCACCAGTGCCTCCCATTGGCTGAACCTACGTGGGAGCAAGTAGGTGAAGGAGCCTGGGACACGTAGCTTGTATACAGAACAGAGCAGAGGAAGATCATGAAATGGATCGCATAGCAATAGACGATGACTTGCATACAACACCAACATAGTCTGTGCAGGCCTGGCCAAAGGGGTCAGGTCAACAGGTACAAACATGGCTACCAGGATGGGGGGAGGTTGTGGGGTGGACTAACACATTTAAAAGGGCTATTTTAAAAAATGTTAAAAAATAAAGGGCTAT